AAAAAAAAAAAAAGGAAGAAAAACTTCTGACAGCCTAATCAAGACCAGGACAAATGAATGAGATGTGGAATAGAGGGATTCCTTGACTAGGTGCTTAGTAAGTACACTCTTTAGGTGTTCTGCTTGATAGCAAATGTTTGAAACTTCACTACAAATTCTCTTAACCAGTACTGGTTATAAAATACTGCTGTATCTAGTGCCTGGCTACGTATTAAATCAATTTCCTACCTAAAACATTCTGCAAGCTTTATAGTAAGAGAAGCCAGAGTTCTGCATGCTTGTTTTTTTATGAGTTTGTTTTTTTCAGGAAGAACATCATATTGAAGGGTCCTAACACTAACTTTTAAATATATGCTCAGTACAAACAGTCACCTAGGTTCTCTTGAACTTACTTAATTCTACAAGAACAGGTTACTACTGGGCTACAAACCTCTGGTCTGACCCCAAGATGGCTATCTCCAACAGTGGCAAAAAAAATCACAGAGGAATTGGTACTAGAAATAACGCATGTATGGAGTGGTCATCCCCTGTCATGTTTTTCCCAATTGCCAGCAGTAGGTTACATCCCTAAACTTTTAACAGCACTTGAGGTCTGTGCTCTATAAATGTCTTTTAATCTCTTTGAACCCAGTTGTATACCATTCTATCCATGCTTAAAGCAGTTTGTTTTAAACCTGCTGAGTGATTAACTTCATCAGATGCCTAATAGCTCTTGTATGATGAAGCACAGTAAGTATTTGCTTTTTCCATGCTGTTCTTGATTTCATAGCCTCATCTTCCTCCTCCTGTGGCTGTCTCTTCTAACTAGAGTCCCTCCCAATTTCACTTACCTGTCATAAGGAATCCTGCCTTTCTCTAGTCAACTTCATAGTTCTAGCATATCCTTTTTTGAGACTTTGACCAGAACTGCTTACAGTAATCAATATATTGATGCATGACGGATTCATCATGGAATGCACTATTGTTTTTGTCTTCAGCCTAGCTGACTTCTGAAGAACTGTCTTTTACACAAGTAGTAGAAATTGAAACTGAAGATGTCTTATTGGCTCTTTTATGTTTTGGAAAAGTTGGCTTGCAGACTTAACCCCCCCCCCCCGAAATGAAAACAGAGCTTTACTTCAAACCCTGTGCATTCCCACACCAAACCCAGCACATGCCAAGAAGAGGCAGTTCATTAGTTGAACCTGGTTGGCCCAGTATCTGTCTAGATCAGGCACTTCAGTGGAGTGCTTTTGGTGTTTTTATCTAGTAGCTGATTGAATCGGCTTTAGATGGGCACCCAAAATTCCCACTGAAGTGTCCAGTCTGTACAGATGCTGCAGAGCTGGGTTGAAGTAACGCACTGCTGTTTCCAGTGAAGTGTGGTTTGTTGGGGTTTTTAATGTCTACAGGCAACCATTGTTCTGTAGTTAAGGATTTGAAACCTTTCCTTGGTGCTATTAATGGAGCAAATATGAATATAAATCCTTCATGCTGGCAGGCATAGACTAGGTATGCAGCCTTGCTGTCCCTGTCTATTCTATTTGTTGGAATGGCTAATTTTTACTGACGGTTTGAGACTCTGTAACCTATTATTCAACCCCACAACCAGGAGGTCCAGTAGACTGGCTCTTTTTCCCATCGGGTTCCTGCCCTTTCTGCTTCATACGTGAGTGATCGTAGCAAGATGTTTGCTTCTACCAGCACAGCCTTCAAGGTTACTAGAAGACGCATCTCCGCACTACATCAGGTTATACATAGGGAAAGATGCCTCAGTTTGTCTGCTTCTGGATTATACAGTCCCAGTTCTCCCTAATCTTTTCTTATAATCTTATTTACCAGGCTTCCTAATCCATTTTTGTTGCTCTACTGGATTCCTTCAAAGTAGAGCTTCAGACTGAGCATAGTACTCCCTGCTCTGTTCTGCACTGGCTTAAATATCCTATTAATACAGCATAGCTTGCTCTTGGTTTTGCAACAAGAATATGTGGTTGACTCCATTCAGTTTGCAGTCTGCTGTAACCCCTAGGTCCTATTCTGAAGCACTGCAGCCTAGCTAGTCACTTCCCCCAGTCTGTATTTGTACATGCAGTTTTTATTCAGTCTCAAGTACAGAGCTGTATGCCTTATTGAATTTAACTTGATTTTCTTTCTTTTTGACCCCTTTTCTAGTTCAAGGCAGTTATGAATCCTAATCTCCAGAATGTTTGCAACTCCACCCCATTTCATGTCAGCAAATCTGAAGTGTGCACTTGGTCCCATCTTCCAAATCCTTGATGAAGATATTAAACAGTACCAGACCACCACAGACCTGAGGAACACCAGTCAATATTTTCCAATTGGATAGTAAGACACTGTAACTCATCTTTGAGCATGATGATCCAACAGTTGTTGGATATGCCACTTCTTATAGTACCTTTGTCTAAAAAGTGTATTTCTTTACTTTATTAATGGAATGTCATGGGAGACAGCATCAAAAAAAGCCTTGCTGAAGTCCAAATACATCACATTCACTAATTTTTTTTTCCTTCCTTCCCCACAAATCAAAGCTCATCACCTTGTTAATAGGAGAAAGGCAGGTTGGTCAAGCGTGACTTGCTCATGGCTGTTCCTGATCACCTTCTCTAAATGCTCAGAAATAGACTCCCTGATAACATGCTCCATGACTTTTTTCAGGTTTGAAGGTCAGACTAACTGGCCTGTAGTTCCCAGAAGCATCTTTTCTTATAGGTGGGCACTATTTTGCCCTTTGCCAAAGAGTCTTGCTGTTGAGCTAGGCCTATCTCTTGCTGCACTTTTTATTTGCCTCCAGAATAGCCAACCTTTGAATTTTTAATATTGCTTCCCCACAGTACAGCCAGTTCTCCTGGACTCCTGTTTCCCCTCAACTTGCCTCCTGTAGCAGCCTACCCACTAGTTCCCTTGGTTTGTTGCTCTGCTCTTTCCTATTCTTAGGATCTTGAACTGTCAGGTGTATGGTCACTGTCATCTTTGACCTCAAGTCTCTGATTTTTTCCTTAGTTTTGTGAGCAGCAAATCAAGAAAATCATCTCTGCCAAACTGGCTTCTCCACTTTCTCTCTGTTTACCAAAAAATTGCTGCTGAAGCTCTAAACATGCTGGACTGCCTGTGCACTGTTTATTTTCTTAGTGGATGTCATGGTAACTGATTTTGCCAAGAGCACTAGGTCCTGTAGCTTGTTTTTTAGAAGTCAGGTGTTTGTTGAGGTAGCTTTTTGTTCTCCCCTGGTTCAGTGATTTTTATAACACTCTTACCTTAGGTAGAGCTTATTGACCTTCTGAGGTTGCTTCTAGCTATGTTTTACCTGATTCTCGAAGGTCAAGGCTTACCATACCATACAGACTATCAGAAGCAGATGAGAGGATGAGTTGGTGCCTGTGTGGGGTTGTCACTGTGTTTTATGCTTCTTTAATTGCTGTTTTAAAACTTTGTACTCTGCTATGATAAGCCTGACTGCTTTAGTCTGTGGTGGAAGGGGCTGAAGAATTAGTCAGAATAAGTGAAAGTCTTATGCCCAGGCTTTCTTCCCTGTGAATTTCCCCATAGGAATTTCTATTTGATGTTGGAACATGGCTATTCCAGGCTGGATGCTATTAAATGTTTCTGGTCATAAACTAGTCAGGGTTGACTAATATAATTGCAGGATTTTGTGGGAGAATGATTCCAAATCAATCTGAATTGAAATTTCAGAGACAAGGGACTGCTTTATAGGTGGGTACCTAGGAGTGTTGTCCTCTGGACACACTGATCCTACTTGGATGTTGAATGGCTAGAAATTATCTAGTCAAGATGCCAATGAACACTTTTTTTTTTAACCAAGTCTTGCAATTGCCCTTTCCCTCTCCATTTGGAAATGGCTATTGATGCATTGACTTGGACAAGAAAGGACCTTTAAGTCCCTAGTTTAGCCATCTGTCCATCAAAGGCCACTAAATGTCACCCTCGTGCTTCAGTAATTTGACACAAGTAAAATCTGAATAAAACTTCCCAGAAGATGTTGAGCTGGAGAATCTTCTTGACACATCTTGATTAGCCAGCTCTTGATCTATTTAACAGGCCCTATATAGTGCCGCTATATAGTGATGATTTTTTGTCAGTTGGCATCTCCATGCACTACCAAGATGCATGCTTCAGAAAAGTCTCTGTGGCTTGTTTTTACTAGCTGAATGCATCAAGCATGACTTTCACTTTAGAAGGATGCTGTAAAGAATAAAAGTGTGTAGCATTCAAGTGACTTCTGTTTCTCTTGCCTTTCTAGCTGTTTACTGGTGGTAGAGTCATCCCACTCATTCTTTTTTAATAGTGGCATAACATTAAGTCATTCTCATTTTCTAGAAATTCCCTAGTATTCAAAGACTAGGTTGAGCCTAGCAGGTCAAAGACTGTCAGCGGTCCTTTGGAATGATTATCCAGGAATGTGGTGTTGGCTTGTTTTTTGTCAGCTTTTTTAAAATTCTTGCTCAATAGATGTCTAGCTTTCTCCATTTTAGAAAAGTCTATAATCTTCAGGTTATCATAGTACACTCCAAAGCATTCCAAACCCCAGGTGGCAGTGGGTACATGCACTTCACAATCTGTCTTGCATCACTGTTGGGATTTCTTGGTAGTATGAGAACTATCTGTATAAATTGTTTTTCCCCCTCTGTTT